CAAACTTTCACCAGCCATTGTGGCAAGAGTTCAGTCCCTGCCAGGAAGCTAACCCACATGGCCTAGCAGACCTCTCCTGTCTCTCCCACTGCTCCCCTCAGCAGTGTATTTCATCAGATCCACCTGTGCTGCTCCCCACTCTGTCTCTAGTGAATCCTCTCACCCCCTCCCCAAGACCTCTGGACTACACCCTAGATCTTGTATGAATAAATAAATAATAATAAATCTTTAAAAAAAAAAAGAGCCAGAAGTGGATCCCCAACTAATCCCTCTGTAAGTCTCAAGCTCCTGCCCTAAAGAGTCACTGCCAAATGGCTGATGTCAGCTCAGGTTTGCAGTGTTTCTAAAAGGAAGGGGGAAGGGAGAGTCCACATTTTATCAAAATTGTGCGAGGTAAAACAGGAACTCATAAAAATATTTGAGTAATAACCCATTTGCTTTTAATTCTTCTGTAATTTCTGTGAAGTCTTAAACACCATGACCTCATTTAGCAGAAATGAGTATCACAGGAACTTTTCCAGGATTCTCACTGTAATACATCATTAACTGGACCTGTGTTCAAATATTACACAGTCCCTGCTATCCACCTCTAAGAGCAGGAATGAAGCCATTGCACACTCATTTAAATTACCAAAGATGACACAGTACTATTGTGTGCCCCTGTGTGTGTGCCCTGATTTTATTCAGTTTAATAAAATCCGGCCTCGTGTCAAATAGGACACAAGTTTCATTCCAGGCTAGTGTGGCTAGATTACAGGATGCAGCTAACCATACGAAAATGTGCAATCCCACGCACCATTTAAAAACACACAACAAGGGGACTCCCTTAGTGGCCCAGGCAGTTGAGCGCCACGCTATGAGGTTGTCCGCAGCCTCTGCAGCGCCAATTGGATCCCGGCCATCTGGCGAGGGTCCCACATGGTGTGGCAGACCTCTCCTGTCGTGCCTGTGGCTCCCCTCAGCAGTGTGTTTCTTCGGTCTGCCTGTTCTGTTCCCCGCTCTGTCTCTGGTGAATCCTCTCACCCTCCCGCGCATCTGGCCTGTGCCCAGGTTCTTGTATAAATAAATAAATAAATCTTTAAAATAAAAACACACAACAGGGCCTCCCTGGTGGTGCAAGGGGTTAAGATGCAACCTAATAAGCTATCCACAGTCACTGCAGCACGAGTTCAATCCCTGGCCATGGCCCAGCAGACCTCTCCTGACTTGCCAACTGTTCCCTCAGCAGTGTGTTTCAGTATATCTGCCTGTTCTGTTCCCCACTCTGTCTCTGGTGAATCCTCTAACCTGACACATACACACACACACACACACACACACACACACACACACCCCTCTGTCCAGTACCCCAGTTCTTATATACATAAATAAATAAATCTTTTAAAAAATTTAAAAGAATAAAAACACAGAACAAAGAAATCAGTGTGAGTTCCATCATCCTAACAGGATTGTCCATACGACATTTACTGATCCTGCCTTCCCCAGCCACCGCCACAAATGACCCATTTCCTAAAGCTCTGGGCTCTGGATCTATGGATTTAAATATTAAAATATGATTGGTATCTTCTCCCATGTTTTTTGCCTATGGAAAATATTTAGGAAAAGGATAACCTCATTCCCCTTGAAATAATGTGCCCTAAATTGTATTTCAATCTAAATCTAATCTACTCTTGAAGACAATTTTAAAACAGAAAATAAGACACACATACTGCTGAGCTCCTTCACATATACAAAATCTGAGGATATTTTGGTCCTATTTGACATTTAGATATTGCAGGATTGCAGGAGGACCTTCTTAGTGGAAAAAAAAAAAACTATCTTAAAAAATCTCTAAGGTCTCTGGAAAACAAATTATAACCGACAATTCTCTTACATTTCATTATGTGGTGCAAATTTATTTCTAAGATTCCTCTACCCTTGTTCAGGTGGTGCCCTCTAATGATAGAATTAGCTGCTCAATTTAAAGCAATTTTATCTGTGAAGTTATCAGGCTTCCTATAAAGGAGGATGAGACAAGTTGGTCTACAACTTACAGAACTGGAGAAGTAAAAAAATGATTTCAGGAGTGGATCTGGCCCAGTGTCAAAGGGGGCAGTAAAGTTAAGTCAGGAAGGGCATGGAAAGCTGCAAACCCTAGTTGCACCCTGCACCCTTTATATAACGGGTTTAATGAGGGTGATGGTGGAACAAATGTACTTAAGGAACAAGTGAGATGGTGAGTATTGTTGGCTCAGCAAGCACTGAAGCAAGTACTGAAGCCAGTGAGCACTCACTACATGGTAGATATTATTAGCATTTAAACATTGTAAAATCATTCCATTCCATTAAGCAGGCATTAAGTACATAGCACCATGTACCTAATAGCCTTCTCCATCATATGATAATCCACCCACTTCCCTTTTTTAAAAAGCTATTCTTTATATCCAAATCTCTCCTGATGCAGAGTCTACATACCTCTTTACATAGTCAATATAAAGGATCTCTTACTAAAAATATAAAGACAATTATTTGGCTTGCACAGATAGAATATTTCAATCTAAAAATTATGTCATTATGGGGGATTTGCAACAATGAGAATGCTTGCATGTTGTTAAATATGTCACTCATTCTCTCTTTTTCACTTTAAAATTCATTAAGCTAATGTTTTCACAAATAATTTTCTAACAGCAAATATCATTCTCCCTAGTGTAAGGTAAATTATTGTTAGCTCAATATCACAGGTGCTAAATATTAGACCCAAAATATCTTCATAGTCTCGCTCTTTCCTTGGTATTCCAAAGGGAAAGAAAAATATCAGACATAATATCCACAAAGTGAAACAGACAACGAAGCAATTATCCAGGAGATGAATTGATTCAAATAAGCCTCCCTTACCATCTTTCTCCTTTTCCTTCTACCCTCTCAGTTAATTTTAAAAAATTAAGATCATTTCTTTCTTCAAAACATAAATCATGTGTGGGTTTCGGAGGTGGAAGAGAGAGATTTCAGAAGTAAATAACACCAGGGACTTTCCTCTAAACCACATAAATGATTCTCTTAATTGATCATTTGTTCCCCTACTTCTGTATTCAGAGTGTTAACTCCATACACACACACATACACACCCACACACATGAACGCGCACACAAAGTGAACAGAAGTATGGAATATAAACACCAACTTCACTGGAATGATAAATATTCACTCACATCCGTTATTATTCCTAAGGTAAGGCAGTATGCCTCAGGGAAGGACGGGCTGAATAAATGATACAATAAGAAAACTAGCTAAGAATTCCACAAAGATGAGTCCCTGGAATTTTCCTGCTAATGGGCACCCAAGGAAGCAGAAGATTCTTCTTAGGCCATGTATTTTGTGTGTATGGCATGGAAAGTTTCCCACCTCCCTTGATCATAAGCATCATGGCAGCTGCTGCCACCCCTCCACCATCACCCCCCAGCTACCACCTCCATCTTGACCGCTCCTGCAACAGCCACCACTTCCACCCAAGCCCCAGTTACCATCACCATCACCATCTCAACGCACAGCGTCACGTATGCTCCCCATCTGTTCTTTTTTCCTCAATAACACAGCAATCATCACTCACATTCTCCATATGCACTCCTACCTCTCCTAGCCCCGGCCCCAAAATATTGCTGCACCTCCTTATCCTGTATTTGCCGATCAATATCTATCCCTAATATCAACATAACAGCTTTTTGTCTCATAGAAGATGAATTGCAAAAATTTCTAAGTAGGGAAGAGCTATGTTCCCTTTTACTGGTGGAAAAACTAGTTTAAAAAAGTCTTTAAGAACAGCAAGAATATCACAGAGGTGGTAATATACAGAATAAAACCTACTTTAGTAGTGTTGGAACTCTGAAAGTACACACCCTGTATCACTAATTGCAGGAACTCGTAAACTTGGCTGAAAACGTAGCTTAGGTTTTCCTTTCCTGGTTTTACCCCTAGAGAACTCAGTCTACCCATCCTGGCCTCCAAACCCACAGAATCTACTAACTCTTTGGTAAGTTTCTCTTACGCATTCCAAGTTTCCAATGAAAGCCATATCCCAAACTCTAGTTTTCATTCTCTGTCCCATGAGCAGACCTCAATAAAAAGCCTCCCTTCCCAAGAGTCTGTCCTGAGCCCAAAGAAAACTAGCAACTGTTCAGGTTGTGCTCTAAGCAAGGCCACCTCACAGAAGGGGGCACCAATTGCATCATTAGCATCTCTACTATTTTAAAAGTTGTTTGCATTTTTATTACAACTTTGATGATTTAAAGATGGGTAATTTGATTACTTAAATTACAATTTTCCAGCACACGGCAGAGTCTTGTACTAAAAATAAGTATAATTCAACAATTTTCCATCAGATGCAAATACAATGTCTGTGGAAGGGTAGCTTTGTCTAATTTGCACAAAATGCCATATGGGCTAGCAGCAGCCCTCAGAAAAGCTTCTCTCCAATATTTTAAACTTTATGTGGTCTTGGTTATTCACGAAAGCTTCTGCTCTTGGTTTGATATAAACTGCACCACATTAATCTTTTTCCTCCCAATTTAGTCTTATTCTCTCAATAACTTCAATCATCAAGCACATCCTCCACTCAAAGCAAGCACCTAAATACTACTGCATTCTCTCGTCCTATTTCTGTCAACTGATATTAGTAAAGACGTTAACAATCACACTATAGCCTTTTTTCACAGTACAAGATTAATTACCACTGGAAAAGAGATGCCCATTACAGACACACTCCACAAAATTTACAATCATTAACAAAACATGTTGCTTAAACTTGAATTTCAGTCAATGTCTGACTATATCCCTTAAAATTTTTTTTAAAAAGCAAAATTAAGTTCCACATGGGAATGTATTTTAATTTACCTGTTTCATTAATGTAATGTAAAATTACCATTCGATATTGACTTTGAGTACCAGGAAATGTTAAGCAACATTAAAGAGACAATTACAGACCCAACTTGCATCAAATAATTGAGAAGAAATCCACATAAACTCACCTTGACCTCCAGAAAACACGTTTTACTGCCATTGGTAATAATTTGTCCTAGTTAACAATCCAGATGTGGAAATCTTAAAAAGAAAGAAAAAAGATTTAGAAGATTGGAGAAAGATTCAGGAAAATATGACCAAAACTTCATATTTCAACAGTACTTCTTCACACTGAGAAATAGTTCAGGAGTTCTTGAATCTTTATAGTGATAGTACCACAAATAAATTCTTCATAATTGGAGTTGTTTCATAAACTCACCATTGTTCTGTTGGCTATGTCTCAGATTTTAGCAATGCTTAATCTTATTTTCAGATTGATCCTCAATGGGTTACATGACTTCAATTTTCCTTTCATCTTAATCCCTTAAGTAGTTAATGATCTGAAAACTGATTCTTAAATACACCATATAAATGAAATATCTTAAGGACTGAGCACTTATTTTTTTGTCAGGGGAAGAGTATCTTTGATACATGAAAAATCATGTCCATTTTACAGATCTTAAACTTCTTATATTGCACCAAATTTATATAGTTATGTTTCTTATTTTCTTCTAATTCAAAAGAAATAAAAATCCAGGGGGCCTATAAACCCTACAATATTAGCAATATTAATCAAATCTTTAATAAAACTATTTTTAATAGCAAAAAATACTTTTCTCTTTAAATTGCTCAGTGAGGGGCTTCCCCGGTGGCGCAGCGGTTGAGCGCTGGGTTGCGAAGCTGCCCGCAGCCTCTGTAGTGGATGAATTTCGGTCCTTCTGCCTGCTCTGCTCCCCGTTTTGGCTCTGGTGAATTCTCTCACCCTCCCGCGCTTCTGACTGTGCCCAGTGCTTGTATAAATAAATAAATCTTTTTAAAAAAATAAATAAATTGCTCAGTAAGATTAGTAGATGGATTTTCTCCCAAATGCTACTGCAGAGTTACCACAGAATGCCTGATATTATTAAGCTGAGTCATTTAAAATTGCTAATATCAAACCATTTTTTACATATAAAAATGACAATATCATCATTTTCCAAACAAGAAAACAGATAGGATTGGAAAACCCAGTAGACTATGAAACAATGAAATCTTCAAAACTACCTATTGCTCAGCATGCATCACTTTTCTAAGTAATATCAATGATCTAGGTATTAACAATTTTTGTTCCAAGCCAATATATCTTCATGGTACTTGAAAGACAGTGAATGAATAGTCTCCAGTATTTGGAAGAGCTCAAGTGTATCTCTTCATTTGCTTCTTCCCACACAGTCACTATTTACTGCCAACTACCTCTCAGCTTCCTTCCTGCAACATTAAGAGTCTTTTCCAAGAGCATAAATGTGGCGGAGAGAAAAGCTAAAGGCTGGAAGGCAAAAAGGTGAGAATAAGAATGCAGATCTCAAAAAAAAAAAAAAAAAAAGAATGCAGATCTCGGGTCCTCCCTGGTGGCCTAAGGGTTAAATCTCAGCACTATCACCACTACAGCCTGAGTTCGTACCCCGGCCAGAGAGCTACCCACATGGCTCAGCAGACCTCTCCTGTCTCACCTGCTACTCCCCTCAGCAGTGTATTTCAGTAGATTCACCTGTTCTGCTCCCCACTCTGATTCTGGTGAATCCTCTCACCCGCTGCACCTGTGGCCTATGCCCCAGTTCTTCTATGCAAAAATGAATACAAAGTAATTTTTTTTAAAAAATTTAAAAAAAAAAAGAATGCTGTAGGGTAAAGAAAATATCAGGCTTTTCTGCCCTTCCGCCATCAGGATAGATGATGGATCCTTGTACTGAATGCATGCCTGATGGTGGGCACCTGGAATAGGGTGTGGGCATAGGTAGATGGGATTCAGCTGAGCTAAGACTGTGCTTTTAAGGGCGGCGTCACGGGGGGACGCCAGCAGCACCAGCACCAGCAGCAGCAGCAGCCACAGCTGCAGCCGAAGCCGAGAAGCAGCAGAACGAACGCTAGAGAGCCCAGATAGAGTGAGGACTTGCTGGGGCTGGGAAGCCTGCCAGCCTCCCAGCCCCCCAGCCAGCACCCCTGCCTGCCATATGCCTGGTGAACCCCAAATAAAAAACCTGCAAAACTACTGAGGACTCTGACTCCTCCTTTACCCGGTCTGCATGGGATCAGAAAACCTGCACTGTATCCAGTCCTGCCCTTACAATTGGCGTATGTCGGCAAGATCCATGCGGACGGGTATTGGAGCCCTCCGAAGACCTGGAGGGACTAAGGAGAACAGACTTTGCCTGTGACGACGCTGGAGGCACCATGGCGGTATAGAAGATGGATACGTCCACGAGCTACAGGATGAGACCTGGCGTGAAGGAGACGCCCGAAAGGACCAGCCAACGACACCGGAAAGGACCAGCCAACGACACCGGATAGGACCAGCCAACGACACCGGAAAGGACCAGCCAATGACCCCTGAGGCAGCAGGCCATTGCTGAAGCAGGAGAGGCCAATGGACTGATAGACTGATGAACTGATGATTTTGGACTGACAATCCCGCCAGAAGGCGGAGGACCTTAGCAGGTTATGTTTATTTTTTGAGAATCTGGGGGTGGCCAGTGGGCCTAGATGGCCAAAAGCAGCCTGTGTATGCCCAGTGGCCAGGTGGAGGAGAAAAGCCAACTAAGGTGGCAAAAGCTGGTACTGATGCTAAGTTGAGAAGCCCTAAAGCGGCTGTTAAGCAGCCTGGGTATGCTGAAGCCCTGTGAGTCTCGTAAAATCACCTATGGGTGATGCCCTGCTCATTCTTGAGTGAGGGTGAGGAGCTGAGGAGCCCGTCCTTGGGGGACGGGTGGGGAATGTGGCTTGGGGTGGAGCCCAAGCCAAATGCAAAGTTTGGATCCCCAACCCATGTGCTTGTGCAGTGGGTTGGCTTGAGAGCAGGGGTCTGTGAGTCGCATGGGTGGCCATGAAGGCCGAGTGTTGGAGCGACTGCAGACAGAAACCCTGAGGGTTGGCGATTACCCCCAACAGAATAAAATTGCCAATCCCAGAGCTAGTGCATCCTGGGGGTGGATGCTGTGTGTGCCTTGTAGCCGAGACTACAGCCAGAGAAGGCCAGGAAGCCTGACGGCTCCTGGTGTGTTATAGCAGATGCCGTGTGTGATTTCCCCTCCCTCGTATGAGCAGTGCCTTCGGCAGCAGATTTGGTGGCTCATCTGCTGGTACCAATAATTGTCTTTTGCACTTGGTTGGTGCCCTGCCTGGACTTATTTGTGTTCTGTTGTATTTTGTTATGTTGTATTTTGTTATTTGATGTATTTGCTTTTGTGGGCCATGGCTGCATTGTTTGTTTGCTTAGAAAATTGTGTATATATGTATAGACTGTTTGGCAGAAAACCCTGAGGGGGTGGACTGTAGGGTAAAGAAAATATCAGGCTTTTCTGCCCTTCCGCCATCAGGATAGATGATGGATCCTTGTCCTGAATGCATGCCTGATGGTGGGCACCTGGAATAGGGTGTGGGCATAGGTAGATGGGATTCAGCTGAGCTAAGACTGTGCTTTTAAGGGCGGCGTCACGGGGGGACACCAGCAGCACCAGCACCAGCAGCAGCAGCAGCCACAGCTGCAGCCGAAGCCGAGAAGCAGCAGAACGAACGCTAGAGAGCCCAGATAGAGTGAGGACTTGCTGGGGGCTGGGAGGCCTGCCAGCCTCCCAGCCCCCCAGCCAGCACCCCTGCCTGCCATATGCCTGGTGAACCCCAAATAAAAAACCTGCAAAACTACTGAGGACTCTGACTCCTCCTTTACCCGGTCTGCATGGGATCAGAAAACCTGCACTGTATCCAGTCCTGCCCTTACAAATGCATATCTCTATGAAGGAAAGGCTAAAGGGAAAATATGTCAAAGTAAAGGAGGAACAAGTTGTCAGGTAGTAAAAGATGAAGGAATAAGGTGCACAGGGAAGAGAGCAGATGGGGCTGCCCAATAATCCAATACTTACAGAGTGGGAGTATCTCACCACATTGAGAAAATTAAATAGATCTAAGTCCAGATGAAATGAAGGGACTGTTTACTTCTAATAATAAATTTAGTAACCCATCCGTCTTAGGACCTAGCACAACCATCACTTCCACTAAGATGCACACTACCACAACCACCCCACCATCCCTGTAGTGTAGGGCATGTGTAACACTACCAGACCTAAAAGCCAACACATCAGAAGCCAGTGTTCATGTTTTCTAATTGCTTTGTTGATCTTCTGTCTAGATGTCTCAATGCATATCTGCCTAGTTTCAATCTGCTATCAAAAATAAGATAATGAAGTTTCCAACTATTGTTGAATTTTTCATTTTTTCCTTCAATTGTGTCATTTTTTGTTTCATGTATTTGGGGGAATCTCTTGCTAGATGCCCATGTTTGTAATTATAACCTCCTGATGGATTGAAACTTTTATTATATATAATGAACTTCATCTCATGATAATTTTTACTTAAAATCTATTGATATAGCCACTCTCTAATATTGTTATAGTCACTCTCAGGTCTCTTGTAGTTATTGTATGTATGGTACATACTATTCTATCCTTTTACTTTCAAACTATTTGCATTTAAATACAAAATTGATCAACTATAGAGAACACACAGTCAGATCATGTTTAATTCAGTCTGCCAATCTGTCTTAGTTAGTGGAGTGGTTAATGGAGTGGTTAGTACATTTACAGTTCACATACTGGTAGGATCTACATCTGCCATTTAATTATGTTTTGTACATGTCTTATGGCTTCTTATTTCTCCACTTCAACATTATTGCCTTCTTTTGTGATAAAGATAATTTTATGCCATTTTAACTACCTTGTAGTTTTTTTTTTTTTATAAATTTTATTGTTATATTCCCCATACAATTGCAGCCCCCCATTCTGACCCCAATCCCTCCCCTCCCGCCTCTGCCCCCTAAAAGTGTCTCTGGTTCATAGTTTTTTGTTGATTTTGATTTTCACTTTCTTATAGTTATTCATTTTCCTGGTCCCTTATTTAAGTTTTCTAGATTCCTGCTATGAGTGAGACCATCCGGTATTTTTCTTTTTCTTTTTGGCTTATTTCGCTGAGCATGATCCCTTCCAGCGCCATCCATGTTGCTGCAAATTGCA